ACCAGTTTGTGCAATCTGCAGAAGAGTTTGGTGGCCAGATGCTGGACAACATGAACAAGCTTATAGTCATAAATGACAAGCATTATGAGCATCTGACTCACACCAACATCAATCTCAACCAGGGCTTACAGCAGCTATCAGAAAAGCTTGACACTCTGACAGAATCCCTGCACGCATTCATGAACTCATCCAACAAAAAGATTGATGCAGTCTCCAGGGAAGTAGATGGAATCAACTCTGTCCTCTACTTTCACTCCCAATCTCTAAATAATCAGAACGAGACACTGAAGGAGATAACTGAAGCCTTAGACATTCTACAATGGAATGCTGATCAAGCCTCAGTGCGCTTTATGGAAATAGGAACTCTTTGTACAGAACACAAAGCGCAAGCCTTAGATCTTCTTCAAAAGGACAAGGAGCGCTACCAGAAGTTGGTACTCCTTGAAGCCAGTACTCAGGGCATCCAATCAACCATGGAGAGATAACAAAGCCTGATTGAAGGACTGGCCTCTGTTACCCAAACTGTAACACTTAAGAATTTGATTATTTAGATATAGTAATGTTTCGGGACAGAACATCTTTTAAGGAGGGTAGAATGTGACACTCCAAAAATTTAAATAAAAAAATAAAAATAATTTTTAGCCAGATAAATCATAAAATATTACGGAAATGACATTTTAATTATTAATTGAGTCAGACAAGAAAAAAAAAATCAACAGTTGTAACATTCTAATCAGATAAAAATTTCAAAATTTATGACGTCTTAGTCAAATAAAAATATTTCAGTAATAGGAACAACATTTTATGAAACAAGTGAACCAGACAGAAAATTAACAATTGTGACATTTTTAGTCAGATAAAAATGGTCCAATAAAAGAAGTAATATTTTATATCAAGTACCAATTATACATATGACATAAGAAGTAAAAGCTATATTTTATTTTTACAAAACACAATTTCCATTTTTACTCCTAAATATATAAACTATACCCGTACAATACTATACATATTAGACCTGCGCATCAGTTGTAAACCAGCCAAGGAAGGAGCTTAAATGAAAATAAAAAGGGAAGATCCCAAAACGTAGGAAACGTACGTAACGTTCAAAAAAAAAATCATAGAAGAAGAATTTTAGGATCTGAATCATAAGCTTGTGCACCCAGTCATCTTTATAAATAGCAGAACCAACTCTCTGGCCTTTCATCCCAAAAATTTTCGTCGGAATACATACATACATATATATATATATATATATATATATATATATATATATATATATATATATATATATATATATATATATATATATACCCGAAATTTCCAATCCAGCGAAATACTCAAAACCGAGCCCTGAAAACACTTCCCAGACCTTCCCCTTCATGAGAGGAATCCAACGGAGGAAGAATCGTTGAAAACGGTCGTGAAACGAGGAAGAAAACGCTCGCCGGAGTTTTCGCCGGAAAACTTTCCCGACAGAAAACGGAGGAGCAGGAGCCGCCGCCGTCGCCGCCAACCCTCCACCGGCCTTCGCCGTCCCGAGAGGAGTGCACCGCTACCCCGTTGGCCGTTTCCGACGAGGTAAGGCCTCTTCCCCGTTTTTTTTCTTGTTCCCCCGTTTTTCCGGCGATTCACCGGAGAAGACAACCCAGCCAAGGCTGGGGTCTGTCTTGGGCCTGATCTTTGGGCCAGAAAAATTAAATTTGGGCAAGTTCGGCCCAGTTGCAATAAAAATTAAAAATAAAATAGTAAATGAAATAAATAAAATCTGGAAAATATAAATTAAATACCTGGTGTAATTATACATGTTCGGACCAACCAGAATTGAAAAATAATATTTTTAGCTATTTTTAATTGATTTAATGGTAATTGGGCCAATTTGTACACAATTAGTAAATAAATATGTAAATGGTGAAATTAATTATGAAATAAATATTGGAGCAAACTAGGATAAATATAAGACTAACTAAGACATTATGGACCATTTATAATTAATAAAAATTAATATTAGTATATTTAATTGTGAATGGACCGGTTATTTGATATTCGAAAATAAATGAATAATTAAGGAAAATGAGTTATAAAATAAATATTTGGACAACCTAAGCCAAATATAGAACCAAAATGTAGTTATGGACGGTTATTAATTTATAAAGTCGACTCTTGGCTATTTTATTAAATTGGACCATATAAAGCTAATTAAGTAATTAAATAATAAAATTTTTATTATCGATGAAATGAATTTATAGTTTAATATTAATTAAAGAATATTATATTAAAATAATTATTTCGACTTGGTATCATGATTAGATTAAATAAATTGGTAGATTTTGTTTTCACTAATTATTGGACTAATTAAGGTAGAGTAATATAAAATTTGCATAATTACGGACTTTAAAATATTAAGTGTTTAAGTAATTAATAAAATCAGAATATATTAGTTAATTCGGATTTATTAAGGCTAGTAATGTTAATATAATAAACTAATTTTGATATTTGATTAGTTAGATTAAAAATAATTCGGATATAATATTAAGACATACCATATGCTTTAGGAGTTGAGTAAATAAAAAGATGATTCTTAAATTAAAAATTTGATATTGTACTTAATTATATTCGTATGTTTTAGAATTTAAGTATTTTAATTAACGACTGAATTAATAAGGTAATTTAATAAGCAGTGATTAGCGCGGATAATAAAATAATTAGTGAATTCGAAGAAATAAAATAAAAGGTAAAAATCGAGTAAAATAATTATTAAAGAGTAAGTGACTAATTATATCATCTTAATTAAAAAGGTGATTATTTAGAGACCGGAGTAGAAGAAGAGAATTAGGAGCACCCGGACTAGAGGTAAGTTTCTCTGCCAATCTAAAATTGTTTCCTCGTATTATATGCTTATTATGCATTATGTGAATAAGTGTGAATTGTTGAATTTTGTGTATGTGATTTTTGAAGAGATATATGGTAGTTGAGAAATATAAATTAAGTACTTTTGGGGTATTTAATATTTTTAAATACCTTCAAGACTTTTTAGAGAAATTGAGAAGTATTTTTGAAGTATTATTTATTGAAGATAAAATTTACATTTTTATAAGAGGTGAGCATCACGGGAGAAATCCGTGGTGTCGGTTTTCCACGTCCGGATAAATGTGGAGGGTGATTAGGTCTGCTACTACTAAGAAGTACAGTTTGAGTTTAAAGGGATATTTGGATCGATGATCCCTTTTAAGAAGAAGTTATGGTAGTAGTAGTCCCTAGTCATTCAAAATATCTTATTCAGGGGTAGTTGGTAGACTGAGTCCCGACTACTCGTTACGACTTACTACTCGGGGGGCTTGGAATCCCTTTTAGGGGGTGTGCACACTTAAGGTAGTCGTTTCGTTTCCAACAGAGCAGTTGTGGTACCGGCACTTGTTCGGGGTGGCCGTCCGTAACCACGGTCCACCGGGCTCTACCGAAAGGTTGAGCACCGCCCTTCTAAATTACTAGGAAGTTAGAGAAGAAGTGATTTTTGAGGAAATCAAAGAGAAGAGTTATTATGAAGTTTTATAGAGAAGTTGAGGATTTTTGTAAAGAAGTAGTCTTGATAAAAATCAAAGTGAAAAGAATTTCGATGGTGTGAGTATTTTTATATATTATTATATAAAAATCTATTTTAGTCAAACATGATTATTTTACGGGGTTGGGTAGTACTTACTTAGCTCTAAAGCTAATTTTTGTTTTCTTTTCCTTGTTTTGTTTCTGCACTTTATTTGTGCAGGTGAGGATGATGTTGTCGAGTGATGATTGCTTGCATGGCCCGAGAGCGAGTTAGAAGTCGCCTTAGTTATACTAGTCATGAAATAAACATTTACTTTTCAAACACTTTACTTTTATTAAATTAGTTGTGATGTTCTAGTTGCCTGTGCATCCGGTTGAGAGATGACCGGATGTGGCGGTAACACCCATTTCCCTATTTTAGACTTCCGCTGTATTTCTTTAACTCTTTGATGAATGAATAAAGTATTTCTTTTAAATATATCATTGTTTTTGGGCGGGAAATTTGGTGTGTTACAAATTGGTATCAGAGCCTTTGGTTTTCCCGAAAGGACTAGAACACGAGGTAATAGGTCGTAGGGAGAAATTCTGTCACAAAGACGATAACAGTCTAAGCTGGTTGGTGCATAATTGAGTCTTTGCGCTCGTCCAACTAACTGGGAATTTCTCCTTGTGCTGAAACTTCGTTGTTCGAAATCTTTGACGAAAACTATGGGTTTGATGCGGGATTTTCAAAAATGTTTTCCTAAAATTAGGAGAATGAATATACTAGGAAAGAGGCCTTTTAGGAACACGGTGAGAGGGAGAAACCTTGCGAAGTTATTGAGTTATGAAGTGCATGGGATTCATGCCTCTGTGAAGTATGTAAAATATTTGATACACTATGTGTACTATTTGTTCTAAGAATATGAAGTTAGTAGAGAATTTGTATAGAATCCTTATGTATGCATTAATACTTAGTACGGGCTTTTCTTTATTAAGAAACATGCCGCCAAGAAGAAACCCCCATGCGACCCCAACTGTTGAGGAGTTGGCTCAAACTATTCAGCAGATGGCGCAACACATCGGAGCAGCTCAAACCCATAACCAAGGGGTTGACTATGCAGCGCGCGTAGCCGGAAGGAACCCCCAAAATACCTGGGGGAGGAGGATCATCTGATTCTAGAAGACTGGATCCGAACCTTCGATAAGCTCTTTGATTCGCTCAACTGCCCGTTAGAGCAGCGGGTAAACATAGCGGTGTACTACTTGCACCAAGAGGCGGATCATTGGTGGGCTGCCACCGGGACAACTCTGCTCGAGCAACCGGAATTTTGTTGGGAAGACTTCAAGATAGCCCTACGCGACCGTTTCTATCCAGACCATGTGAAAGAGGCAAACTATGATGAGTTTGTCAACTTCAAGCAAGGAGATTTAACCGTCCAAGAGTACCACACGAAGTTTGTCCAACTGGCCCGCTTCGCCAAAGAGCTGGTATCCACTGAGGCCAGCATGACCCGAAGGTTTGTGAATGGGCTGAACTTTGGCGCCCAAAAGTTCGTAACCGTGGCAGAGCCGCGGAACATGAATGAGGCGTACCGGAAGGCCGGGAAGTACTACATGGTACATCAGAAGGAGAGGGAGGCGCATAAGAGAGACCGGAAGATTGCCGAGGTAGAACAGCAGCACAAGAAGGCCCGAACTGACCGCCCAAAGCCAAGACAAAACAACCAAAACGGTAGAACCTTCCAAGGCCAGGGTCAGGGAAGGAATCAGCCCGCTCAGGTACGGCACTACAAATGCAAAATGTGCCCAAATAACCATCCCGGGAAGGATTGTGCGGGAAATGTGGTGAGATGTTACAACTGTAATCTCATGGGACACCGAGCATATGAGTGCCGGAAACCTCCGGGCCAGGGTCAAAACCAAGGGAACAACCAAACTGGGGGCGGGAATAATCACGCTAACATCAACCGTGGTAATCCCGGTAATCGCCCAGAGGAGGCTAACCGAAACCAAGGCCCGGGAGGGCAAAACAACACTCAAGGCCGCATCTACGTCATGAACCAGGCGCAAGCAAATGCACACGATGTGGTGACAGGTACCTTTCTTGTAAACTCCAAACCTGCTTATGTGCTGTTTGATTCAGGTGCGTCCCACAGCTTCATAGCATCAAAATTCGTGGAAAGGACAAAGCTAGAACCTACCACTAAGCTTAGTCTTAACGTAAAAACGGCCTCCAACCAAGTGGTGGCATGTGGGAGTGTTTTCTCTAACGTTCCCATAGTCATATCCGATACCGAACTACCGGGAGATCTAATCCAATTTGACCTGGAGGATATTGACGTGGTGTTGGGTATGGACTGGCTAGGGAAATATAAAGCCAAAATCCTATGCGACGAGCAGAAAGTGGTCTTGAGAGGACCCAATAAAAAACGTGTATCCTACAAAGCAGTTACATCTAAACCGGGAGTGAAGCTAGCCACAATGCAACAAGTCAAACGATATGCCCGAAAGGGGTATGAAGTTTACTTGTGCAGGATCAAAGACTTGAACTCCGAGGACCCGACCATTGACCAAATCCCAGTGGTCAATGAGTTTCCGGATGTATTCCCAGAAGAGATTCCAGGGATGCCACCGGAGAGGGAAGTCGAGTTTTCAATCGACCTTCTACCGGGCACCGCACCCATCTCAAAGGCACCATACCGAATGGCACCGAAGGAGATGCAAGAACTGAAAGAACAACTTGAAGAATTATTGGAGAAAGGCTACATCAAACCGAGTATCTCACCTTGGGGTGCTCCGGTCTTGTTTGTGAAGAAGAAGGATGGGAGTCTGAGACTCTGCATTGACTATAGGGAGCAGAACAAAGCGACCATCAAGAACAAATACATGCTGCCTCGCATTGATGACCTCTTTGATCAACTGAGGGGAGTTAGCACGTTTTCCAAGGTTGATTTAAGATCCGGGTACCATCAAGTGAGGATTTCTGAGAAAGATATCCAGAAGCTCTAAGAAGAAGTCCTCAAACTTTACATTTAATGAGTGGATGAAGAGTGGGATGTCTAGGCCTGACAGAGCTCAATTTACTCAGATGAAGAAGCTTATGACTCCACTACAACAAGAAAATCTGTTTATGGATAGTGATGGACTTGTCCAAATCAACCATAGTGGATGAATACAAGAAGCTGAAATATGGTGGCAGATGAGAGTTCTATCTGGCAAAAACATATCAGAAGCAATCCGGAACTACTTGGATTGCAAGCTTGCACCTCACTGGGCAGACTATCAGAATCCAAGGGACTTAGCCTCAATCAGAGCGAAGGTCAATGCAGAACTTGAGAGGATTGACAAAGCAGGACCCCAGGTAGATGAAGAAGAAACTTAATCTTTCATCATTGTTTCTGTATTTAACTCTCTGGTAATAAGATACCATCTCTGCCTCTATTTTGCATGGCATCTTAAATTTTTTGTTCTTCCTTACTTTCTATGATTTCCTTTCGTTTGCTCTGTTACCTTAATTTCCTATTATTGCTATCTGATTGTACTGTACTTTTACTATTTTCCTATGCCAAGTTGCCCACCAAGATTTTAATGAAAGTTTTTAACTTTATTCTTTTATGGTGAAAGACACTTCTCTGGAAATAGTTAAAGGGTTTTGGCATCATCAAAAAGGGGGAAATTGTAAGGAATAAATGTAATTAGATTTTGTTGATGCAAGGTTTATTAGAATTTGAAAGTACCCCTATAGAATTTTTTGTACTAGAAATTTCTTTGTAAGTATTAGCATAGTCGACTTGCCAGAAACCCTCTTGGTCTTCTTGATCAGAATATCTACCAGAGTTGCTCCCAGAGTTGCTCTCCAGAGAAGCTACCAGAGTTGGGTACCAGAGTTGGGTACCAGAATTGGCATCAGAGGCAGTCATCGGAGTTCGGATCAGAAAGCCTCATCAGACTTGCTCTTACTTAACAGAACTCGAAGGCACTTCCAACGGCCGTGAAACTAACGGGAAATCCTCTAACAGCTAGGAGCCATTCGACGGGAACATGGTACTGTACACGCATTAAATGCTCAATTAATGATGTACGTACAAAGATATATTTAAAGCTGATGATTCACCATGCGGGTATCTACACGCCCCCAAAGTAGCAAGTCGAAGGTCCAACCGGTCAAATCAACAGTACAAGCATTTAATGAAGCTGTCTTCTACACTCCAACGGGAAGACTGCTCCCAGTATATAAGATACACTCTGAAGAACTACGAGGATAACTTTTGCTACACAACTTTGCTCAACTCATTTGCTCTGAACTAAAAACCTTCAAGCTTTCTTGAGATCAAGAACTCACTTACCTCAACAAGAAAAGCTTAAGTTGGAAGACATACTTTCATATCCTTCATCCAACTAAAAAGTAGCAAAGTTCCTCAGTTTTTCAACACTTGGAAAGCATCATCTACACACCCTTTGTGAAGAAGCAACGTTGGAGAAAACTGATCTTGAATCAAACACTTCTTGAAGTGAGGATACTTCCAAGAGACTCAGTGAAACGAGACCAGCCATCAGGAAGCAGGACTGCATCCCGGGTGGCAACTAGGCTTGAAGAAGACGTGGAGTGCTTCTTAAGTTCTAGGGACTAAGGCATTGTAAACTGTTGTTTTTGCAAGCTTAGTGGAACAGTGAACTAGAGGAACACGTTGTTCCTTGAACCACTATAAAAATCCCCGGTGTCATTTACTTTACTCATTTAATTCTGCACTTAAGAACTTGACTGTTTAACTCAAAAGGTTGGACTCTGTGTTCAGCAGATCTCCCTTAAGAGTTATCAGAAAGGCACTTGCCTTAGTGTTTTCTGAGGCTACCCGGACAGAAACCAATCCGCTGCGAGGTCCAGTTCTGCCATCAGAACTTGACCTTCTCTGTCACCAGAATTCGACCATCTCTGATAAGTCAATTGTGACTTAGAGAATAGTTTGAAAATTCCTGAAAAGTCTATTCACCCCCCCTCTAGACTGTTCCCATTACAAACGGGACCAACACTTCTCTTCCCCTGCGGTCATTAGCTTTCTCCTTTCACATTTTAACTTTCTTTCTCAGCCGTTCCTAGGTAAACATGTATGGTTTTCAATTTTTTCGCTTCCAATCAAAGGCGGACCGTAGTGGAGACCCGGGGGGCTACCCCCACCCCCCGCTCCAACAATTTTTTTTAGTGTGTATATATACGGAAAAAAATTCGCCCTCCCAAAAAATATTTTGAACCCCCCAAACAACATTTCCGCCCCCCCCCCCCCCAAGATGACTTTCCTGGGTCCGTCCCTGCTTCCAATCGTAATATACTACTTCTGAAGCTAACTCCGTCGTCGATTAGACTGCAACAAGGTCTGCGCCCAGTTTCTGACGATCCTCATTGCCGTCGATTTCGTAATGCTCAAGAGCACTGCCCCCCGTCGCAGTACGAGACTGGAATAGACTCCGTTATCTGGGTCAACAAACGATCCACTAAAGCGCGACAGCAGCGACGATGTATCTCCAACGCAGCTTTGTGGTGCCCATCTGAGTATGGATCTGTGAGAACTCTGCTGCTTGGATTGGATTCGAAGGGACACATTGACCTGATTTGTGCGATGAAGAAATCAACCCGGGAAGAGAAAGAAAGAAAATAGGAAAAAGTTCAGCACAGGGAAGAAGGCGCAGGAAGAAGGGAGCAGCAAGAAGAAAGAAATAAAAAAACAGAAAAAAAAAAAGAAAAAGAAAAATATGCCATGTCAGACTCCACAAATGCATTTTAACCGGATACCGGGAGGTTACATGTATAAAAGACAATTTGACTCAATTCATTGTTCGTAGAATTAATTGAGTGATATTTGAGTCGGTGGGTTTAATTGACATTTTCGTAATAGTAGATATACTTATTTGACAATTGACACTTTTCCTATAATAAATTAGAAGTTACTCCAAATACGACTAAAACTGTGGCAAAAACTCAAAATAGGAGTTGCTATTTTTTTTCAAAATAGGACAATATTAGTTGTTAGAATATTATTTATTGTGTTCAATTTATTTGTAATTTAATTAATGAGTCTTTGTATTTAATTAGATTAGCTGAGAGAGAATTAGGCCCAATTATAAGTGCTCTAGAATAGCCCACACGCCTTATAAGCTGCTTCCTAATTGTATTAGGGAGTTCGAGTCTCTCGCCTATAAATATAGGCTGAGATGGCCGAATCTGCTCTCGAAGTCTCTACACATTCTATTCTGCATATTATTCTGGTAGAGCACGTAGATTAGAAATTCTCTCTCTAGCTTGTTCGAGACTGTGTATTGTTTATTATGGATTCATCATTCTATATACACGGTATACGTTATTGGTGAAATTTCTCTTCTACGGTTTTAATTCTTTCTATTATTATTAGATTATTCGACTGTTTAAATCCGGGCTACATTCACACAATTGGTATCAAAGTCTCGGTGCAATTCTGTTCACCTAATTCCTTGAATTTTCTGGAATTAATTTGATCAAAATCACAATTTTTGGTTGAATTAATCTCTAGATTTGTTCTTGGAAAGTTTCTAATTTTAGAAGGCTACTGCAACTTGGAAAGCTGTGGAAGAAGAATCCCAGGACGATTTATTTACCATATTCTCGCGTACCCGAGATCCCTGTTTTATTCGCAGGTCCGAAATGCTCTTCATCATCCGAGATCTCAAATCTTGAAGGCCCGAGTTCCTGAATTCGAAGACAATCCCGAGTTCCCGATTTCGAAGACTATCCCGAATTCCTAATTTTGAAGAAGCCCCCGAAATCCTTAATTTCGAAGGCCCAAGATTTGCAGCTGTCTCGAATTCCTCTTCGACATCTTAATCCGAAATCAGACCCGAGATCTCAATTCAAAATCTTCTTTTGTAGTAATTTTTTTTGAACAGTTCTCGCCTTTAAGATCAACAACAGTCATGTAAGCCTATACTCTTGGAAGTGACTCCAGACCTCCTCTGCTCAGGAGAGGAGAATTCGTTGTATGGAAAGTCAGATTCTTAAACTTCATCAGAAGCAGAGATAATGGGAAAAATGTTCTCAAATCTCTGGAAGAAGGACCTATTGAAATCTAGGTTGAAGTACCCGACAACACTACACTCAATCCCCCCACACCTGCCCAAAGAAATCTGAAAAAGGAAGAAGACTATACTGAACCCGAAACACTCACAGCTAAAGCTGATCTTCTAGCTGTAACGTATCTGCTCCAAGCCATCCCAAATGACCTGTTTATGCAAATTGATAGTCTTTCCACTACGAAGGACTTATGGGATGAAATCCATCAGATCATGTAATCCAAAAGAGCTCACACCCTAACTGCGTATGATTCTTTCACTGCCCGATCTGATGGGGAGTTAGAAGTCACATTAATGAATTATAGGGATCCAAACATATAATTAAATGGAGAGATTGAGCTATGAAAGTGGAGAATATGAATGAATAATAATGTATGAATGAGTTGTGTTCTAGGGTTACAAGCTCCAAAACGAGTATAAATAGAGAAATAATGGACCGGGCCGCTAATATGGGCCCGATAGGCCCAACTACATAAAAGACTAATCTAGTACATATGGATGATATATGAACAGTACAATAATACAAAAGACATTCGATAAGCGTGTGTGGTCCGCTGTCCAGGCCCAATAGTAGTGAGACCCGGGGGTTCGAGTCTATATACTCTATCAGGAGTCCCCCACTCCCTGAGTCGAGAGTACTCGAGGTGAAAGGGAGTAGAACTGTGTGCTGATCTGTCGTCGTCTGGTGAGTAAACTTCATGAAAATTTTTGAGGTGCTAAGTCCCCCACTCCTTGAGGCACATGTATTGAGGTGAAAAGGAGTAGAGTCATGCATATCTTCAATACGGGGCCGAGAGTCGACACTGTTGGTCCCGGTTATACTGGATACAGTCTAGAGGGGGGGGTGAATAGACTGTATTGGTTTTTAGCTTTTTAAACTAAGTACCAGATTTACAGAATAGCCTGTTCTGTTGGAAGAACAGACTGGCAGCGGATGGGGTTCTGGTAGGGAGTTCTGTTAGCCTCAGAGAAGCAATAGGCAGTAGGCCTTCTGTTAACTCGTAGAACAAGTTCTGCTGAACACAGATACCAAGTCCAAGGAGTTATACAGTTCTAACTAAGTACAAGTATTAAAAGCAGTAAGTAAACGACACCAGGGATTTTTATAGTGGTTCAAGGAACAACTTGTTCCTCTAGTCCACTGTTCCACTAAGCTGTAAAAACTGCCGTTTACAAAGCCTTAGTCCTAGTACTTAAGAAGCACTCCACGTCTTCTTCAAGCCTAGATGTGTCCTGGGATGCACCTCCTGGCTTCCTTTAACA